GTCAGCTGTGCCTGGCCGACGTTCGGCAGCCGCAGAGTCCCTTGGAGGCTGCGTCCGTCCCCTCAGCGCTGTGTGGCGAGCAGTGGTGCATGGGAGTCGGGCGGGGACCGCGAGCAGTGGTGCATGGGAGTCGGGCGTGGACCTCAAGGCTCTGACTCAAACTCCCAGCCCGTAGTTTGCCTCTCGAGCGGAGGGCACCTCACCCTAACAGACGTAAGAAAACTCTCCGAGTCCTTGGCCTCGGCGAAGTGCAGAGTTCCCTCTCCCAGCTCGGGTGCCGAGTTCCTGTGCGTCTCCTGGGCTCCAGCTCTGGAAGGCTGCCTGGCTGTTTCAGGTACGTGCTCTGGGCAGAGATTTCCTTTTCTGGATGCTTTTTGATCAAGGCTCAGTTCACCCCACTTTAAACATCCCAGTTAGTGGGGGGGTTGTTCAGAGCTGGGGCCATCAGAGAGGCGAGCTGGTCGTCCTCTGCAGCTGTCTCTCTCCAACAGCGACAGAAGGGGCCTGTATGGGTTTTGGGAGGCTCCCGCTTCCCTCCTGGGAGAACAAAGACCCCACCGCCCTGATAGTGCAGGTGACAGCCTGGCCACAGGGATTCTGCGCTGATAAAACCGGCTGGGCTGCTCTGCCTCTTGGCCAGAGCATTGCAAACCCAGACGAGTGAATCCGCAAGCTTTTTTGGGTCTGGCTCATGTTCTGCCTGGCAGCTGTTAGCTTGAGACAAGCTCCTCGGAGGCTTTGATGCTCTGCTGTCACAGGTTTTCAGTGCCTTTGTCCTCGTTTCTGTCTCAGCAGCCCTGCCAGGAGGTGAGCATGAACCCAGTGGGACTAGAACAAGCAATTTCATTCCGCGGTCTCTGTTATTCCCTTTTATTCAAGGTTTTGATGGCACCGTCCACGTGTACGACACACAGAGCTGGGACAGCTCTGGCAGGGAAGCAGAACCGATCTTTGTTCACAAAGGCCACGCATTCGGTGGTGACGGAGACCCTCCCGTGGTCACAGCACACACGTGGCATCCGCAGAAACCCAGAACTTTATTGTCAGCAGCAAGCGACGGTTCCCTGCACGTTTGGGACTGGGTTCAGCCTTGTGGGAGCTGTGGCTAACTGGTACTTTCGGTGAGATGTGTGTTTCCTGTCTGCGTTCTAGTTTGTGTTGGCTGCGGGGTGTCTGTGTGCAGAGAGCTGGTTTGAGACAGTCGGAGCGAACAGAGCTGGCTGTAAAGAGCGCTATTTTAATAAAAATGTTGATTGTGTTACTTGTTCTCCTTCAAACGATAGCTGTGACCGTGTAGTCGCCTGTAGTTGTGGTTGTGTCCGCAGGCAGAGAACAGCATCCTGCCGCCGTGTTATCACACACCCATCCCTTGTCCGCACTGTACTGTTGGGAAGAAAACAGACAAAAAAGGCGTGAGTACATTTGGAGGAAATGGGCCATTCTGGGGCACGTTTAACCCCCTGTTTTCCAGCTGTACACCCCACAGGGCGTTGGCGTTTTGTCACGTGTGTGTGTGTGTGTGTGTGTGTGTGTGTGTGTCACGAGATGTGGCCTCCGCTCAGGAAGTCACAGCCTGCCTGCGGCCGGGGGCTCAGCCTACGAAGGGAACAGGAACAACCACTTCAGCCCCAGCTTGCTGCAAGCTTTGCCCTTCCCCTGTGTAACTGGAGAGCACCTAGTCCAGGAAAACGCCTTAATATCTTCTGGCTCTGTTCCCAACTGAACATTTCAATTTGATGGAGCTAATGTGATTTCCTGGGTCTGAGGAAGCCAGGCAATGACTCTTGCAACGCCTACGCTGTTACCAAGGTGTTACTTGGGGGGAAAAAAAAAACCCAAAAAACTGTCTGCTCCTTATCCTGAGCATGAAAGGAGCATGTTTCATCCAGGAGGGAGTTGAGAGCGGTGGCAGAGCCTAGCAGCGGGGCAAGGGGGGGATGCAGGCAGGGGGTGCTCACCTGCAAAGTGGGGGACCCTGCCTTGCTCTGGCACTGGGGGTGGCTCGTGCTGGAGCAGCCAGCCTGGATTTTGCCGTGAAAATGTTTCCGCAGAGCCTGCTGGGCTGTGTCCCCTCTGCTCCTCATCCCATCACCCCACGTTTGCTGTCCCCTTGGGCTTCGAAGTGCCATTTCAGGGATCAGGGACTCTTGTTTCCATCAGAGGAGGGGGCACAAAGGGTTCCCCGCTTTTCTGGGTGTTGGCTGAGGATGGAGAAGTTGCCAGGGAAGCGTCGGTGCTGGGAATGTACGGAGCCGCGCTGTGTCACGGCAATGGCTGAAACCTAGCTCCCATCTCCGCCGTCATGAGAACGCAGGGAAGCTCCACGCCGCTCCCATCTCTTGGCTTCCCGACCTCTGCGCCTGCCATCGAGCACAACCTCCCCTTCCCCTGCCCCGAGACCCCCCCGTTCAGGAGGTGAGGGGGGGCTCTGCTGGACCAGGATGGGGACCAAGCGCCATCCCAGCGCGTGGCTGATGGCTGCACAGACATGGAGGGTTCCTCAAGTGGGATCCTGGAGCTCAAGGGATCTTTTTTGAGCCCCACCTGGGAATGGAAGGTTTGGCAAACTGAGATCCACATAGATGGTCTGGCCTCGGAGGAGGTGGGCTCTGAGAAGACCACCGCAGCCTTCCCCAGCAAAAAAGCCTCGTCTTCCTCACCATCCTCTGCAGGGACGCGGTGGAGTCGAGAAGCAGAAGCGTCCGAGCCAAGCATCGCGATGCTGCAGGGAGTGCACGAGGACAGGGAAGCAAACCCGCTTGGTTTTCTGGAGAAACGGGGCTGAAGCAACAGCACAGTTTGTACTTATTTAAACTTCCTTTTTTTTCTTTTTTTTTTTTTTCCCAAAATAACTCAGGCCTTCTCATCCAGCTTGCACCAGATTAGACAGGGGACTGGAGGTGTCCAAAATACTAAGTGCTTGCAGCTGCCATGGGCAGGGATGATGCACAGAGGAGGAATCTCCCTTTCAACGTGCCGCTGGGGAGCTTGTGCCCGGGCGGTGAGGGCGTTTCTCCCAGAAATACACCACGTGGACCTTCGATCAGAGTCCAGGTGTGTGACTGTGGGGACTTTGCCTTTGCTGGAACCAGATTGACTCGTGCTGGGGGAGGTTGGGCTGGCTCCTGCTCCCAGTACAGAGACCCCCGAGATGGATCGATTTCAGGTCTCTCCTTAGGACGTGCACGTGTCCAACCTCTGCTCTCCGTGGGACCACGAGAAGGTCCTCCAGGACCCCTGTTTTCCCTGGGGCAAGCTGGTTTCCTCTCTGGATGAACCCCAGGACAAAGCATCAGGGCAGGGGAGAGCGAGCGGGCTGGACGTGCAGGGCTGGGGGGATGTTTCCCACCAGGGAGCGGATCCAGAATGGTGCTGTGGACACTGCCCAGAGCATCTGGCATCTTCTCCTCCCTTGCCTGGGAGGGGACAAGCCCCAGCCCTTCCTTGAGGTGCTGTCCCCCCAGTTCAAGCCCAGAAATGGGGGGATAAGCCAAACAAACCCCCATTCCTGGCTCCTCCTGCTCCCAGGGGGGATGCGAAGCTCGCTCAGCACCAGCTCCCCCCTGCCCGCACCCCACGGCGGAGTGCTCCAGCCCTGGAGCTGCCAGGATGCTGCTGCGTGAACATCTCCCCCCTCCTCGCTGTCCCTCCTGGGACACCCACCAGTGCAGCGCTGGGCTGGGGCCACGGGCTCGAACCACCCGCAGAGATGTGTGGGTATCGCTGCACCCTTTGGAGGAGATGGGGGGGGGTTCGGGGCCCTGGCTCCTCCTCAGCCCCGTGCTGGGAAAACACGATTTCAAACCTGGGTTTTGCTCTGTGTGCTGCAGCGATGAGGGGAGCGAGGGTGAGAGCAGGAGCTCAGTCTCCTGTGCCCCAAGAGGGACTGAGAGAGCAGAGGCCAACGTGATGCAATGGTTTTGTGCAACACCAGGGGCTGGTGCTTGCAGCACAGCTGCTGATGGTGCTTTCCCAGGGTGCAGGGGTGGTTTTAGGGACTAGAGACTTCTCTAAAACTGCTGGGGTGTATTTGTGGGGAGAAGATCAGCGTGGACTGGCCTTGGGTGGGTTTAAGATGGCAGTGCTGGTGTGTGCCTGCTCCCTGGCAGCTGGAGCATTCTCTGCTCTGTGTGAGGCTGGGACACCTCCGACTGGACGAGGGGCTGTCCAAACTGGGGAGACGGACTGGGGGGTGCTGGGGGGTGAGCAGATGAAGACGAGACA